GCTGGATTGGAGTAGACCCACAGGAAGTAATGGAAGTTATGGAAAAGTTGCTCAGAAGAGATCATGTGAAAAATGTGCAGCCTGACAAGTCACCAAAAGCTTATGGAGTACAAGAGAAGAATGAGGGAAAGAACCTGTTCTATGGGGGCACAGAGAGCAGGGAAGATTTATTTTCAGTCCTTTCATTTTCATAAGTATAGCTAGCAATTCTGGGTTCCCTGCAGAACTGTCACATGCTAGCAGATTGGTTTCTGATCTAACAAAATATACTTTTAGAGACTTAGATGGCTTTTGGGATGCTCACTAGAAAGAGAAAGCAGAACGTGTCCAACTTCAGTCCAACTTGTCCTAGCAACATCTCTAAATTGGAGGAAATGCTAAACTGACCAGGAAGGACAGGATAAGGATGAGGATTATATGTATTCAAAAAACTGTCTTTGTGCTGGTGGATTTCATAACTATTTACATATTAATTTCTGAGAATATACATTTTGCAGTGCTTTTAAATAAAGCTAACTCTAGTAAAAACCAGCAAGTTTTGACATTTTCTGAGATTATATTTTATCTTGAAATAGAAAGAAAGGCAAATCCTTTTTTCATCAGAAACTGTTATGAAAAATGGCTGACATTATTATTCATGGTTTGGAAGCTTCCCATCAAGTGTTACCCAGGCCCAGTCCTATTTTGCTTGTGAGTGACAAGAATTTAGCTCACCACAGTTCAAAACCTTGAATTATCTGAACTTATTGCTACACTCTGTGGTAAAACGAAGCTGAGCTCTCTTTTTGCATATGCTTTATTGGGAGAATAGCAAGCACGCTGGAAGATTTCTGCACCACACGGTAATGAGTGAGCATCCATAGAAATGGAAGCACTGTAACTACCTACGTGATGACAAGAAGGGCTACTGAGCAAATGCCCAGCAGAACTATCAGCCTGGCTATGCCACTTTTGGGACTCAGTTTAGGGGGTATCCAGAGCACTTTGCTGACACAAAATGCTTCCATGCCACATTGAACCAGAGGAAGATCAAAACAGGTGCAGACTCTGCAGTTATGCCTTGCTCCCTTACCTTCTTTTTTCTTTCCCTGCCTTTAAAACTAAGACAGTAGGAGTTTGAGACAGTTCTTGGGAGAATGCTAACAGGCTAATAGGGTCATAATATAAGAAAACACCTCCTCCTAATAATATATTTCTGTTCTACAGAGATAAAAACAATCCCTGTTCCACCATAAGAGAAGGTTGTCAAAGTCATTTCAGAAACATAAATAAATCAAACTTTTCAGGACTTCTAGCATATGCATTCTTCTTCCGTAAAAGACGTCTAAAGATCATGTTTATAGCAGCATGTATGAGAAAAGAAGCAAATCAAGGAAGAAAGTTCACAATTCGTATTTGTGTTAATACCACTTACCTGCACTCTAGCAATGAAAGAGTTCAGTAAAGTCAAAACAATTTAAACTTTTATGTTTATAAGGCCTCTTTACAAAAGTAGGAGGATGTGTATAAGGGTAGGATTAATAAGATTTTTTACAAATTAATCTGCCATCTATGGAAAAGCTCTTGCCTTAGCAAAAGCCTTCTGAATTGATAACAAGATACAAGGGATTTCATAATCCTTCTACGAATTTCTTGTAAACCTAAAATTGTACTTAAACTTGATTCAGCACATTTTAAGCTAACTGATGTGGCTTCTTATTTGAAGTCAATGGTACTTGATTCATTCAGAGGAGAATATGACAGAAAGGCACAGCAGAAAGCACCACTTTCACTGCCTCTTTACAGCCTTGAAGTGTGCAAGCTGTTATCTTGGGGAACTTGAGCATTACAACGAGTTGCTTTAGGAGATGCTGAGTTGAAATACAAGTAAAATGATGTTGCTTTAAAATGCAAATAAAAGCGTACACACTTAAATTTGCACAACACTGTCATTCTTGCTCAACATTTGCACACATTATCCAAAAAACCCTCATCTCCAACACACAAGCTGTTTGAATGTTAAGGTTTGCTTAGTCATTTGCAGATGAGGTAAGCCACACTGTGCGTGACTCGGAGCTCTGAGACTCTTGGCAGTGTTAAACTAGGAGAGGAAACACTTTGTTCTCCAATTTTCAGAGACATTCATTGAACTCATCCAGAAACTCTCATGAGACAAAAGGCTTCCTTCAGTTCCACTCCTGGTAAAATCATCTGAGTTTAAGACACACACCTCATGTTCTCTTGAAATGCCATTAAGCAGAAAAATACACTGTCAACAGTTGAAGTGTATTCACCCAAAGGATACTTTATCTACAAAATGAAAGGGCAAAAACCTTTAAAGGAATATGTAAGAAGTGAAAATGCAGTGAACTGTCTTCATTTTGCAAGTTGGAAATCAAACAGAAGCAAATGTGTTTGACCTGGAATGTTTCATTCACCTAGATTCAAGAAGATAATGAGATTTCAGACAATATTATTAAGATAAAACCAACTGGAGTTTTCTCAAATAGGCCAGTGATTTGACTAATGATTTAAAGCTGATGCTCATTAAGACCATTTCTTATAGCATTGTGAATGTTCAGGAACTGGGCTTCACATTGTGCTAGACAACAGAGGTGATAGAATTTCAGATCCGGGTAGGCAGTAGTGGAACAACAAAGTCAGGTCTGGTACCTTGGAGGAAGACTGACAAAGGTTTGGCTAATCACACAAAACTTAGGCCTTCTAATCCTTTGTACATCCAGCTGAATTTTCAATTGCTGCTTTAGTATATCTGTTGAAAGGTTTGTGGAGGGGTTTAACATTTTTGGAATAACTTGTGAAAAACTTATTTTTCAGCACAAATCAGGTTTGTTAACTTCTGTTGTCCATCCAGATTAATGCATGGTTTGAAAGTAGTACTCTGATTTTTTCCTCACACACAGCTTTCAGAATGCCACTGAAACTATTACTCAGCCCAAGGAAAGAACAACTCAGGTTCCACCAGAGACACAGAGAACTGTGTGAGAACAGAACAGAGAACAGAAACATCAATGGTTTGTGGTCCCAAAGGTTAACAGTGACCTATTAAAGGAGGAAGTGAGTGAGGTGGTAAATGGAGGCTTCTTGGATGACAGCTGTGGGTATTATTCCTACTAACTCATTAACTGTTGCACCTAGGAGATTTTGAAAAAGAAAGATTATTTACTGGCAACAAGTCTTCTTCAAGTGGTTATTTAAACATGTACTTACATTGTGAATTTTGAGGGTTGCTTGTTTTAATTTCAGCAGGAGCCCAAGGACACAAAAGTCCCATTCCTTCACCTCCTCTTCACACTGGTTTACAACCTGCGCCTCATACTTTTGTTTTCTCTGTCTCACAAGTGCCTCACAAAGGAGGGTGGGTTGCCTGTGAAAGTGTAGGCAACAGTAGTGCACATACAAGCAACTCATCTTGAAGAACAGTTACAGGTAACTTTCATCCTGGAATGCTCACCCACAGGTACCTTACCTGCAAACAAAACCCATCACAAAATACTTTCTTAAAGGAAATGGTCCCAATGTGAGTAATTGAAACAAAGCAAAAGAACCAACTGTCCTAAAGGTGGCATCATGTTGAGAGGCTTCAATGGTCAAGAAAATAGCAAAATGAATCTTGGGCTAGAAACCTGACCCTTGGATATGTCAGCTGAAGACACAGGCAGATGAGGTGTCCCAAATCTGGTCAATACAAAGAATGCAAGCATGACTTATGCTCAATATGTGAAAAAAATAATCCATCCTGAAAGCTTATGGAAGAAGAAATTCCAGGCAAATTAGTTTCTTGGCTAAAAAGAAATTCAGGGACCCATAAGAAAATAAAAAACAATCCTGAGGTGCGACTTGTCTTGAACAAACGCAATACACAGAGGAGCCATAACAGTGATCTGGCTCTCCACCCCTAAATAACCAGTGTGATAACTACCAAAAAGAATGAGAGGACTAGGTCCAAACTTTTCATCTGGTGGCTTCAAATGCATAGTTCAGGGATCCAGAAAAGAAGTATTTCCTGTCTCCCAGCAATAGTCATCTTTAAAAATGTAAAAGAAGACTCAGTGTCTAGAAAGAAAAAAAAAAGAGTGTTTCCCAGCAAATGCAAAACAGAATTCAAGAACAAGCCATACTCAATGTCAACACATGTTAACACATCAACTGAATAAGGTTCCTCTGTTGTCTCAGCCTATCAAGCAAGAGGCACAAGGATATGGGCACATTTTACACCTTCATAGTTGTGTACCTGGCACAAAGATGGGTAGGACTTACATTCATGTTGTATGGGAACTGCTGCAGTAAAACCAGTACAGCCACAGGGTGAATGCATATGTACACATTATGTACACTCATAGTGTAAATGTGTATGTTCACAAAGATTCCGAAGATGAAAAGACATCCCTGAGACACAAGACAAAATCCTTCCTCTGCACAAAGCTCCGCCACTGTTATTTGTGCTTTTTTTCATGTCTAAGAGGTGTAGAAAATGCCTTTGCCCACAGTTTTGGATTTTGTATGAATGCAGAAGTAAAAGCTGTTTACTCTGTTGGTCGCAACAGTTCCAGAGAAAAGTCATTATCATGTGGCCAAATGCAATAGTCATATTTCTATTTTTTCCATTTTCTGTTAGTGGCAACCACCCTGTGAGCAACCCAAAGGAGTTGCAAATCTGAAGAATTTGCCAGTAGAGGCAGATTTCAGATGACAAACTGTCCAAGACAATGGAAAGGATTAGGGTCCTCCTTCAATATCCAATCTTATCCACTAAGAGGAACCCCAGTGGGAAATTTGTTGATGGTATTCAGAGGGTAGGCTGTGACAGGCCACTGGCTCCATAATCCACAGCTCTAGTATGAGATGACAGACAATTTGCAGATGAGCACTGACACGGTTCATGCTGGCATGTACCATTGCAGACATTTCCCTGTGAAGCACTGACCTCAACTTCAGGACTATGAGTGACACCCCCAAGCACCATCTCACATGTTCTTCTCCTTCTTTTTCTCCTTCAGGGAACAACGAAGTGTCAGTGACTGTAGGTGACAGCTCAGTGCTCGCCTGCCCTGTCAAACCAAATATAAATATGCTAACATGGAAAATATATCCCAAGGTTGGAGGCCCCTGCAACTTGGGCTACAGGGCAGATACGAACACAACAGACAGAACAAACTGCAGTGACAGCATGAACTGGAAATTCAGACCAGATCTGGGTCCTGTGCTTGAGATACAGCAAGTGGGGATAGCCCAGGAGGGAAATTACATCTGTGAAGTTGTAACACCAGAAGGGAATTTCCACAGGACATACCACCTGACTGTGCTGGGTAAGGAACTCCTTCCCTGTTTACAGTTCTCCAAAGGACCATGTCTGGGCCTGGACATACAAAGCTCCTCTCCTGAGGCACTGGGGAAACATGGAGTAAAAAATTGAGCTGCCTTTTTTTTTTTTTTTTATCAAAGAGGGTAGCTTTAAATTAGATATTAGTAAGAAATTCTATACTGAGAGGGTGGTGAGTCACTGAAACAGGCTGCTCAGGAAAGCTGTAGATGCCCCATCTCTGGAAGTTCAAGGCCAGGCTGGATGGGACTCTGAGCAACCTGGTCTAGTGGAAGGTGTCCCTGACCATGGCAAGGGTACTAGAACTAGATGATCTTTAAAGTCCCTTCAAAGCCGTGATTCTTGTTGGATAAACTGCCATGCATATCACTGATAATGTCTCTGGGTTTCCCTTCTCCTTATTTCCCAAAATTCTGCTCCCTTCTGTGGTCACGTTTTCCACTGTCTAGTTAGAAACAACAGCTGTGAAGTAATTTCCCATATCCTAACAGAGGATGTGGAGAATGGCTGTGGTAAGGCTCACCTGAATGCGGGAAAGTTGTCCAAAAGGAAAAAAGAGACAAGATCTTTGTCTCTTGTGAGTTGGATCCATGTTGTTGTCATGGAATGACACCTCCAACCCTATTCTCCTCTTTTCACTGCTTTCATTTTGGGTAGAGAACAAGAACATCCTGTCCCAGCTGCAGGAAACTAACTCCATGCTTGTCCCCTTCCTGGTGCTTTGCAGTGCCCCCAAGGCTGAGCCTCTTCTGTGATGAGCACGGGAAGCCTGTGTGCGAGGCAGCGGCAGGGAAGCCGCCTGCTCAGGTCTCGTGGCTCCTAGAGAGCAACTCCTCCCTTGAGGAAGAAAGCCACAACAACGGGACAGTGACTGTTCTCAGCAGGTTGACAGCATGTGACACCAACGTGACTGACACAACCTGCGTGGTGTTCCACCCAGCTGGGAGCTGGAGTGAGTCCATAGCCTGTTGTCCCTCAGGTAAGCTTCCCTTTGTGCATTTGCTGTTCAAAAGCCTGTTCAGCTTGTTCAACTCTCATTACTTCTAGGAAGGAAAATCTACAAAAGGTATAGAAAGCTTCAGTGAAGTCCTATAAGGAAAAGAGTACCATCCCCAACTGCCTCTGACCAGAAACATCACCACTCATTTGTGTTCTAGACACTATTTCCTGAGAGTTTCTTCCCTAAGAGGGATACACATAAGTGTCATAGCATTCTTTTGGTAGTGAAAACGTTGTTGGAAACAGAGACAAAGCAGTCATAACCAACCGGAAGTGGAACATCAGTAAGGTTTTTTCAGATGCAAATTTAAATGTCATGGTAAGAGACAGAAAGAGAGCCAACTCTAGTGTGGCCAGCAGAAACAAGTATATCACTTTGTTCTGAATTGTGAACATCTGACATTCTATGACCTCTGGTATCTGGTTTTTGATTTTTTTGTTGCTTTTGAGAACTATGCACGAGTTGCAATGCTGAGAAATACTGAATCCTTGAGAGGGGCTCAGGTGTGGCTTAGTGAAAAAATATCATGAGTGTCCACCGTGGGATTTGTGGGATCTGCTTTTGTCTCTGACACAGACTCCATTTGTGTTTCATTGCTGACTTTGCCTTCTGCTGAAGGACGTTATATTTCTCTTACAAGCATGCTGAAACTGTGTGTATGTGCTAAAGCAACTCTAATCGTATACTGAAACAATACAGAAAATGAGTAGCAAGAAGACATAACTCAAACTAACTCTTTTTGTTTAGACAAAAAGAACTCTATCCTGTATGTCTCCATTACCCTTTGTCTTCTGAGCATTATGACCTTCATGGCTGTCATTTACTACATCAAGCTCCACAGTAATAGGTATGTATGATAGGGTGCTAAGGAAAAATTGTGTAGTGCTAGAATAAATTTTAAAGTACTCTTTGTGTCTTGAGATCATATGATTCTGTGAGTCTGTGCTGCCATGGATAACTGAAGTAACTTCATCAAATATTTCTATACTGCAGACACTGTGCATTGCACACACCTTCACTGAATAATGCTAAGAAACCATCCTAAATGAGAAAGTCAGGGTGCTATAATTTCAGGATCTAAAGTCAGGGAGAGAGAGACAGGAGATGGCTTTACTCCCAAAGATGAAAAAAAGAAACTTTTCATATGCTTCTGACCAAAGAAACCAAGCTGTGATCCAGCCAAACATAGGACTAAGGAAGGAATTTCTTTAACACTTGCTTTCTTTTTCACAGACTGTGCCACAAAAACACGCCTCCTGAAACTGATCCTATACAGGTAAGGAGAATTTTGCAGATTAGACATCACCAAATCAGGGATCTTCTGGTAATCCTGAAAACATAATTAGTAAAGAGAAAACGATAGATTTTCACTCTGTGCTTTAAGCAGGTATTATTGTGTCCTATATGTTTGTTCTTAGCTGTTTATAGGACAAAACAAAGCTTAATTTTACCATAAGGTTGACTTGGAGCACTAGAGGCATGTTCCAACAGCAAACACTCAGCTACTGCCCTTCTTTATCTTAGCAAGGAGTGATGCCCACCACATCTTCCTGATTATATCAGACACACCAACCACAACTCCTGTCCAAGCAGTAATGAAGAAGGGAGGCAATAACATGGGTTGGGGAATATTAAGAAAACTATTAGTAAACAAGAAGATTAAACAACCAAATTAACAGACAGAAGGAGAAAAGGAATGTCCCTCTTCATGTCCAGAATGATAATGTGTGAGTTTTGAAGGCCCCTCTTTATCTAGTATGGTCAATCCACAATCAGTGAACCAACCAGATTCAAGACAAAACATCTTATTAAACAATGGAAGGAATGCTGAGCTGCAAACTGGGAGATATTATTGTATTCCCTATGCTGTTAGAAGCTTCCTGTGTAGCTGAGCAATTCACTCATCAGTGATGTCTCTGTATTCTCTGCTGCCAAATCCAAATAAAAGCATCTCTGTGCAGACAAGATGTGTTACAACTATATTGTATCTGTGCACCTAAAGTAGATGCTAGGCTCAAATTCTGTCATCAACTTAAAAAGATGCTTCAGCTTCTGAAAAGTCTTAGCCAATTCTAGTTATTACTATTCCTGCTGTTCTGCTGCCCTACCTCCAAGTCGTTGCTGACAGATGCAGTTGCGTTAAAGCAAAATAATGGTTTAAGTACCAGTGTTCTTGCCGTCACATCACGTAACTTTTATTAGCATGTCTGTAGACTAAAATTGTATACTGATGGAGGAATCAATTGTAGTCAAGACTTTAGCATATTATTTGCTCTTTCTAGAGAATTAGACCTTAACACAACTTTTTTTTCAGGCAAAAAAAATAAGTGGTGTAGAAGGGAAGGAAAAGGAGGCAAGTGAACCAATATGTCAGCTTTACCCTCCAAATCTTTGCCAGAAAAAGCAACACATATTCTTTGATAGAAAAAGCAATAGAGGAGTCTTTTTCTTGAGTTGAAGAGGAATAAAAACAAGAACACTACTTTCCAGTTATTTTCGTCAATTGATATCAAAGGCTTGCTGAGTTTTGCCAAACTAAACTACTCCTTGCATTCACAGTTTTTGGTTTTGTTTTGCTAGAATGACACAATGGAAGTGGAACCTTATACTACGTACGTGCAGAAGGAAAACGTAATTTACAACTCAGTGTCTGATCTGACAGTGGGGCAGAATCTTCCACAAGAACTGTGGCCCGAAACATGAACAATTCAACAACACTGGAAAAGGAAAGACATACTTTATAAAAGACTGGTTATATAGAGAAACTTCTCAGAGGATTTCTTCAGATTTTGGGGCAGCATAGCTCACTAGGTCTGTTCAGACACCTGTGCTTGCCGATGAGTCTTTATAGGTGTATTTTTTTCCCCTGTTTTGCTTTCTTCCTTGGGAAGGGAAACAGTGATATTCCTTGCAAAAATGGACTGACCCCATAACACAGTTTTTCCTGGAATAGATGTTGTGACCAGTGTTCCCTTTACTGTTCTTGCCCTGGAGGTTCTAGTTTTGTCAGTCACTTCTAAATGTAACTTTGATACACTTGACACTATGATGCACACATTTGGGAGACCAGAGGAGTGTTATTTCCGAACTAAAACGAAACACTCTTCAATCAGCAGCCACCTTTTTCTAATTCGCACTTTACTAACATAGTGACCCAAGTACCAATCATCACTGAATACCTCAAATAGCAGAAGATATTGGTAGGGAAGACCCAGTTCTGAAAATGGAAATGAGTGATAAATTTAGAAGATCATTCACTAAGAAAGAGTCTTCAGTAACATGATTAATTTACTTGTTAGTTTCATATTCAATAACTCAGGATACCATTATAGGATATAGTCCTATAGGACTATAGGATACCATTATAGGATATACGTCCATCCAGAGGAACCTGGACAAGCTGGAGAAGTGGGCCAATGAGAATTTCACAAGACCAAGTGCAAGGTGCTGCAAATGGGTTGGGGCAACCCATGGTATCAATCCAGGCTAGGGGATGAACAGATCAAGAGCAGCCCTGCTGAGAAGGACTGGGGTGTGATGGTGGATGAGAGGCTGGATCTGACCCGGCAATGTGTGCTCACAGCCCAGAAAGCCAAATGTGTCTTGGGCTGCTTCAAAAGCAACGTGGCTAGCAGATGGAATGAGGTTCTGCCGTTCTGCTCTGCTCTGTGAGACCCTATCTGAAGTACTGCTTCCAGCTCTGGTGTCTCTAACACAAGAAAGACGTGGACATGTTGGAGCAGGTCCAGACGAGGTGGTTAGAGGGATGGAGAACCTGTCGTATGAGGAAAGCTTGAGAGAATTGGGATTGTTCAGCCTGGAAAAGAGAAGGCTTAGCAGTGACCTAATTGTGGCCTTCCAATACCTGAAGGGAGTCTACAAGGAAAATGGGGAGGGATTTTCTACAAGGGCATGTAGTGACAGGACAAAGGGGAATGCCTTCAAACTAAAAAAGACTAGGTTTAGATTAGATATTAGGAGAAAATTCTTTACTGTGAGGGTGGTGAGACACTGGAACGGGCTGCCCAGAGAAGTTGTGGATACCCCATCCATGGGAGTGTTCAAGGCCAGAGTGGATGGGACTTTGAGCAACCTAATCTAGTGGAAGGTGTCCCTGCCCTTGGCAGAGGGGTTGAAACTAGATGATCCTGAAGGTCTCTTCTAATGCAAACCATTCTATGATTCCATGATTCCATGTTAATTCTGTATTTCAGATAATTGTTATGATTACTTTTTCATAAGATACTCCGAAGATATGGCATTTCTCTCTTTCTTAAGAGTATTAGCATTAAGATACTGTAAAATAATTATGTTACTCAAATCTCATAGGCTACTTTTATCAGAAACAAACATAAAATATTTCACAAAACAAGTTAAAATATATTTTCTATGAGAGTGCAATTATGTACAAGAAGGATAAAATGCTTGCTAATTCTAGTCATACTTATTTTAACTACCACAACCGAAGATTTTTTCATTCTTATGTCTAGATGTTTTATTGATATTCTTTTAAATGTACTTGCAAGTTCACTTTTTTGTATGTAAATTAGCTTACATATCTTAATGCATCTCATATTGAGGTGACTTCTTCTCACCTTCCCAAAATATCCTTTGGGAATAAGTCAAATAAATTGTCCTCTATATAACAGCAGTTCTCAGACTTTTTGGACTGATACCTTTCCAGCTAAAATATGAACAGACTTTACAGTAAGAGTAAAGGAATGCATTTGTAAATCTCTCTTTACTACCTCTTACTTCAGTATTTTTGAAGACTGACTGGGTACTTGGTCTGATTGTAGCATCAGAAGAACTAGATTTTTCCTTTAGATCACAGAAATGTCTTTTGCCACACATTTCTTTTGATCTAGGCTCCCAAGGACCATGACATAGTGCTTAGAAAACACTAAGACTTCTAAATTGATTGCAGTTCCTAAATGTAAACTGATGTTACTCATGTAAACCAGTACAGCTGGTTATTTATTCTCTCTCTAGCAGCTATGAAACAGCCACTTTTGTCCAGGTGCTCTCTGCATGCAAGTATTGCTTTTCTCCATTTCTGCATGTCATTTTATAGTGCAAGGGATCAAAGCTGAATATCAAGCATCTACAAACAAGTTTTCAAGGAACCTCAGTGTCTAGTGACTTACTAAGGAAGAGAGCCAGTCAACTCAGCCATAATACTCTGAATTTCCCCACATAAAATAGGTACAACACCGTCCAGTGATCTTTCTTCCCACCCCAAAACAGAGTGCCATCACTTCTTAAGACTTTTTTCCGTGGACTGGAAAGTGGCTCATGTTGTTCAGTGTCCATAAATGGGGTTCGTGCTATGACAAATCAGCTCTTGAAGGTAGATTATTGCCAGTTTATATATGATATATTATGTTTACAGAAGTATATTACCTGCTGACCTGCTGTCTAGCTGTAGGGTTTTATGATCCTTTACAGAGCAATTTCACTGGGCTTAATCATGTAAGTTCCAGACCTGGACATTGCTAAGTAGCTAACTGGTTGATTATTTTCTTTGCCCCCATTCAGACCTGCTATGGGCAGAAAAAAAGATTTTACTTTGGGATTGTGATAAATAATGTGAGTTAAGAGTCTTATGTATACACATGTACACAAATACACTCTTTGTACTCAGCAGCACAGAAGGTATAAAGCAGAAAGTCCCTTCCTGCACTCCTCTTTCTCTGTCAGGGCACTTGCTACTCCTCTTTGCACTGTGCTGGTATTGTGCTGCAGACATCCTCCGCACAAAAGTGCTGTGTTGACTGTTTCTTAGCAGTCAGGCAAGCCTGCCCTCTAAACTCCCCAGGATGTTGCAAAGTCACAGGAAGAAAGTCAGCAACTTTTCAGCTCATCCCGTAAAGAAAGGGTTTGGCTTTAACCACATTTACCAATGCTATCTCTTGCTGCAACATTTAATTTTGGTAAATTTGCATCTCCCACCTTTGCTGCTATATTTTACCCTGACACACACATTCCAGTCTCTTGACAGTTTACAACTGCTCTAATCAGGCAGTTAATAAATATAGTTATCTTATGACTATAGACAGTCCCAAGCACCGAGCTCACATGCCCAGCACGCCAGCAGATGTTGTGCACCCACAGAGCAGCTGCTCACCCAATCTTTAGGATGACACTGGAGTACTAAAAAGTGGATGCATTACAAATCCTGAGACTGAGCATAGCTTCTGTATATGCATCAATACTTGGGCATCTCTAACTGCAAATTATTTCATGGGAACAAAGTCAAGCCCTTCATCCCCCATCACAGTGAGATGTAAGATTTGGTTACACTGTAAATATTAGCAGAAAGGTTATTATATCATCACTTACCTCCTTCAAACAACTTTCCTAGTAATAGAATCCATTAAAAGTGGTGTTTCAGGTATTACCCTATCTCTGCATCCAAACAAGTTTCAGGATTTACAACGACATTATCCTGCTAACATCACCTATTCTTATTTGTGGTTTATTACTTACAGTCTAGTTTGTAATCCTGTGTCCATCATAGACCTTTTGGTTCAGTGTGTGACTGCTCTGCAGTTCTGCCCAGCTTACTTCCAGTTATGAATTAAAATTACTTCAGTATCCTCTGTTTTCATCCTATTGGCTATAGAAATTTAAGTTTTCACATTAGAGCTGTATGACTTTCTCAGGAGCATTGACAAAGCTACCTACCTCTAGATATCCCAGGGATTTCTTCACACAAATCTGAAGAATGAGTGTATTGGCAAGAGAATGCTAAATTTTATTTTTTTTTAAAAAACAAATTTATTAAAAAAATTTTTAAAAAATCTGAAATCTTTATAAGCAGAGTAAAAACTGATTCATATTTAACTGGGAGGGGAAAAAAAACTGTGCAGTGCATTTAGTCATAACTAGAAAGGAAATTCAAAAAATACATTTACACGGAATCTATGCAGTCAGATCAAAACCTATTCACAGAAAATATTAAACAAAGAATTTTCACTGCTAAACATATTTCACTAATAAATATATAAAAAAGGCTTTCACAGCCTAACATGCTCTCCCTTGCATTCACTGTTGAGAAATCTTTTCTCTCTGTTGGGCTAAAGATGACAGCTGTCTTTAAACACGTGTTAAGTTTAAAAATAAATCACCTCATGCTTTTTGACATTTACTTTAGATGCTACTGTCCTCAGTCAGGAAACTGCACAAACATCCAGAAAGGTACCTCATAATTTTTTTTTCAATGTCTTTGCTTAACTTCTTCAATGACACTTGTTCAATAATAATTACATTCTTAAGAGTGTGGACATGATGAAATTATTGCTGGTTACACAGATCTGACTGCCTTGTAATTTTGTCATGGTTCCCATAATCTGCCTCTGTCAGCATTGCACTTCAATATATACTTAAAACTTTAGGCATTACATGGCAGATGCTATCTTGAAGCTCTGAGTTTTCAAGCACCTTGAATAAGTGGATCCTGATCGAAAACTGGGGGTTCAACACCTTGAGGAAATACAAATAATGAACAGAATCTGCAAACCGAGCTAGACAGGAAGTTTTTTTGCTAAGTATTATGAATTATATTAGCCAATTTGCTCCAGGAGATATTGCTTCATAAAAGCTCCCTCACTGATGAGTACACATGAATCTCTCCATATCAAAATCTGGGAATCACACCCTCTTCTGTCCACAGTATCACAGATACCCCACTGAGTCATCAAACTCATAACACTGCACTTTGCTCTGCCTGTTTCCCTCTTTGTAAGAGCATATTCTTATTACACCGTGTACCTGTC